CTGAAATCAATATATATATATATATATAAAGAAATTTTGAAACTTTCACAGTTTATGAGCCCAAGTTGGAAAGTAAATTCAGATGGAGAGCATTATTTAAAAAAAAAAATAATCCAGGCGGAGAGTTGGCATCCCTGAATTGGTAAAGCAACTTGACTGCCTAGACGAAAGCAGAGGTGCCCAGAGTCTCATCTGGGACCAGTGGAGTAATGCCAGCTGACGGCATAAGCCTCCCTGGGGGGCCTAACCCATGGTATTCTGGGCTAGGGTCTGGGCTGGAGTCTAGGACCCTGTGGCTTTTGGAAACCTCCCAAGTGACTGTGTACATAGCCAGGTGAATTGGTAAAGCAACTTGACTGCCTAGACGAAAGCAGAGGTGCCCAGAGTCTCATCTGGGACCAGTGGAGTAATGCCAGCTGACGGCATAAGCCTCCCTGGGGGGCCTAACCCATGGTATTCTGGGCTAGGGTCTGGGCTGGAGTCTAGGACCCTGTGGCTTTTGGAAACCTCCCAAGTGACTGTGTACATAGCCAGGTTTGGGGTTCAGTGAATTAGATCATTGTTATGGTCCCTTGCAACCCTGGCTTTCTGTTATTCTAGAAGTTATCGGAGAAAGGAAACCCCATGTCATGCATGTCTCACTTCTGTGCAATTGAACATATCCTGTTGGAGTAACCGCACTTAGAGTGACATGTTCTCTGATGCTGACTCTGGGTTTCTAGGAGGAACCAGTTAGCAAGTGCTGGGCTCTTAAACCCATTTCCTGTCTTCTTTATAAAACTCCAGACACTTCTCTGTAGTCACACATCTCTGTTTATTCTGCTAGTTGAGTGATCTGGGGGTAACATCAACTTTGTTTTCTATTCCAGGCTGTCTAAGCCTAAATATTTTATTTATTTTATTATTTTCAATGTGTTTTTTTAATTGATTTTAGAAATAGAGGAAGGGAGAGGGAGAGAGAGCTAGAAACATCGATAAGAATAACAACATCCATCCACTGCCCCCTGCACGCCCCCTACTGGGGATTAAGCCTGCAACCTGGGCATGTGCCTTGACTGGGAATCGAACTCGTGACCACTTGGTACGTCGGTCAACGCTCAACTACTGAGCCACACCGGCCGGGCTAAGCCTAAATATTTATAACAAGTACTTTCTAATGACTGTGGGGTTTGTTTGTTTTTTACAGTGATAATTTTATTTTATTTCTACCCAAACTTAAAAATTACCTGTGATCAGACAAAATGGGTGTGGTCCCCCCTCCACTTTCATCTGCCCAGGAGTGGGCAAGGGGTGGCTGGAGAGGTGGTGATCTGGCTCAGATTTTGTCATTCAGGTTTGATGATGGGAGAAAAGTTCAAAGGAGTAGAGGAATTCAAATCATGGTCCATGGAAGGTGCTGCATGGAGGAGTGACGGATAGTCGCAAGCTGGGATCAATGGATTGTGGGTCTCTGCAGAGATTGCAATGCTAGAAGAAGTCTGCTAGAGAGATGGGGTAGGGACATGGGCACAGGGCACAAGGATACAAATGGAGATGGGGGGTATGGTTATTGGTAATGACAAGGTCTATGGCTATGGGATAGTAGCTGACATAGGGTGGAGGAAAGTCACAGGAGAGGAGGTTGAGTGACAATGAGTCCAAAAGTACTGGAAAGGTAATCTGTGTGCATATTGAAACCATCAAGACATAGGAAAGAAGTATCAAAGAGAGGAAGGGAGAAACAGATGCTATAATAATTTAACATGCTATCCATATAAAGTGGTAAATTGATTTATATGATGGGAGACCTTTTAAATATAAATATTTGATTTAATCCAGTGGTTCTCAACCTTGGCTGCACATTAGAATCATCTGGGAATCTTTTTAAAATCCTGATTTCTGGGCCTCATCCTCCGGAAATTCTGTTTCTTTGTTACTAATGTTGTGGCCCCACCCCATAAC